ACATTCAGCCTCACAATCCATAGCCCAGTCAATAGCTCAGTTGGTAGACGACTCATCAGCCTTATCATCAGCTCAGCCACCTATTCAGCCATCATCTTCACCAACTCCTCCGGTACAGCAAGCCATGACAGTTCAGCCCATAAAGGACAGGTCAACAACTTCCTATTCTATTTTATTTTTCTATATATTACTTTGGTTGTAACTATATTTCTCTATAAAATTTAATTGACTTCTACGGTGGCCTGCTTTTGTTAATAGTAACATGAGTAACGTCCAACATTTTCTCCCCTTTAGCATTTGGCATCTTCCCAACTATATAATGTACTACCATAATCTAAACCCAGTCAATAAAACAGAATTTTCTTAAAGCAGACATCAGCGACCCAAAAAAGTCTGCAGCTCCAAACTCTCATGTGAACCTTTCAGTCTCCCCTCCGTTCTCTCTTCTCCTCCTGCTCATGGCAAAGCAAAACAAAGCAAAGCATTCCCCCTTCGCATCCTAACCTTGGTCCCGTCTTTGTCTCAGTGTCAGGTCACATTTCAGTCACACATTCAGTCATTCACTCAAGATATTTGCTGACAGTGGAGACTAATAATCTAATTCTCCACCCTCAGCAACATGAGCTCATTCATTTGTTTTATTTTGTTTTGTTTTTTGCTTTTGGAAAAGAGTTCTTTATTATCTTACAACCTGATCAGATCCACACAGATCCTTCTCCTCAGCCAGTTGTAATCTGGAAAAGGTCATCTTAAATTTGTTCTCCCAAAACTTTTACAGCGCTGTTAATTCAATCTTGCAGGCCTGCTTAGAACAAAAATGAGAAAAAGAGAGCTCATTATTAGCTCATCAAAACGCAAAACATAATCACCTGACACAATTTCCCTAAGTGCACTGTTACAATTATAAAGGCCCATTATAGACATGTCCATGTTTAATAAAACTCCCTCTATTGAAATAAGAAAACAACCCAAACCTAACTGACAGAATCAACCCATCACTAAAACAACAACCCCAAAAATCTTAATCAGAGAAAACTTTTGCTTGCTAATCTAACAATATGTTGGCCTCAGGTTCTTCAGCATCCTGACACTCTGAGGTCAACTGACATAATTTCACCTGCTAAATACACAGAAAATCTTGTTAAAAGCCACACAGTTTTGCACAACATTAACATTAATTCCCATTAAGCCCTTTCTAAAAACCTTATAACAATCGATCATCACTAAAATCTAAATTTCTTTTCCAAATCTGGAATACTGCACTTAGTCACAGACCTGACCACTTTATTTAATTATCCTGTATTTTACCATTATATATTTTACCAAGCAATTCTTCTCATTCACAGACATGTTTCTTTCACAGCCAGACAGGAAGCTTCAGTTCTTTTTTTTTTTTGTCGCCACACATTCAGCTAATTTTCATACTCTCTCCTCTCATAAGAAGTTGCCTTGACAAGAGAAATGCATATTTAAAACATTACCACATAATTAAATTATTATTTTCTTTTCTTTCTAGAGTAATAACTTGTTTTGCTCAATCGGCACAAAAGCACTTCTAATTCACTATTCTAAAACTACTTTACACTTCCAATCACTGGTTTATCCTTTTTCCTTTTCACAAAAATTTTCATGGAACTCCCTGAGTTATTCCTCAACTTCAAACTTAAGTGTGTTAAATCTCCACCATTTAGCATTTATGTCATGTATTC